GGCTGCGCCGCCGCCGCCGCTGGTCGCGAATGCGGATCTGAAACCGGGAGAGGGCAGAGGCGCTCAGAGCCGCCGCCGCCGCGTGCTCGCCGCCCGGGCCCCGCGGGGTATTTATACCGCGCATCCAGCGGCGGGGACCGAGCGGCGCCCTCCCCGGAGGATGGCGAGGGCCAGGAAGCCGGGCACGGCCCGTGCGCGGCCTCAATAAATAAATAATTTAATTAAATTATAGATAGAAAAAAAAAAAAAGCCACCGGAGCGGCCGCGAACTCACGCCTTCTTGGAGAAGCGCCAGCGCCAGAAATAGCCCCGGCTCGGAGTCCCAATTAGAGGAGCGCAGCCCCGGCTCAGGGGAGCTTAAAAAGAGCGACCCAGGGGCAGGGGGGACGGGCCCGCCCGCGCCAGCCGTGTCACCGGGGGGCGGGGCCATGCAAATGAGCCCGGGGATTTAAAAGGGCGGCCGCCCGCCAGCCGCTGCGCGGGTGGGTGCCAGCGGTGGGAGGGCTGCGCGGGAGCCCTGGGCTGGGAACCCGCCCGCCCGCCCACTCCTCACGTCCCGCGCGCGGGAGGCTCAGGGAGGGCCGCGGAAGAGTCGAGGAGGGGCTCCCCGCGTGGGCGGGGGTGTCCTTCCTGCCTGGCGCGGGGTGCGGGCACAGTCACCTCTAGGGGCCTTCCGGGCGCGTGGGCCTGGCCCCCCGTCGGGCGTCGTGGTGGGCGGCGCTCGGGCCGCGGGGGTCCACGCGGGCGGAGGGGGTGGAGACGAGCGCGCCCGTTGGAGCGTTGCGCGGCCTACTCGCCGCCCCTTTCCGCCCAGATCGACGGCTCGTAGATTTACCCGGGGCGGACAGGTGTCAGCATGTGCGTTTCAGTGTCAACCCGCTGGTGGCGGGCTGGTGAAATACAAGTCTTGTGAAATGCAAACGTGAAACTTGGGAAATCCGAAGTGTGTCAATGCCTTAACGGCCCCCAGCCAGCCGTCACCAAGGTGCAGCCTTCTAGCGACACACGATTGGCCCGTTCGCAGGTACACCGGAGGGAGGAGTCACTCCTCCAGGTGGCCTGGGAGGTGCCTTGGAGACACGCGGTCTCGCGCCGCACCCCGATCCCCTCCGTGGTGACTTTTTTCAAGAGCACGCGGGTGGGCCGGACGTCGCCTGGAAGCGCTCTGAGGGCAGGGGCCGAGCGTGCGCACGCCGGGCTCATCGTCGGCCCCGACCCAACAAAGACTTGTTGCTCGGGCCGAGGAGGAAGCCCCGGTGGGAAGATGGCGGGAGGAGGGCGCGCCCTGCCGGCCGGGCCACGCGCACCTCCCCGCGCCGGTCCCCGAGGCGGCCCTCCACACCTCCTGTGATGCAGGGAATTGCAATGCGGCCCAGTGACACACGGCCGTGACTCATGTTTTTCTCTGCTCCCCTCTTCCTCCCGGGTCCGCCGAGGCCCGGCCCAGCCCCCTGCTCCTCCTGGGGGGCGCGCGGCGGTGGAGGGGACGCCGGGCAGAGCCCCGCGCGCGGGCGGGGTGG